CCCGCTCCCCCTTCCCCGGGGGCCGGAGAGAGGCCCTGGCAGCGCGGAGCGGTGAGTGCGGACCCAGTGTGACAGTGGTGAGAGCTACCCCTTAATTAGAACAACAAGCAGTACAAGAAAACGAGGTCCACACAGAGTTGCCCGGGCCGGGCGCTGGGCCCGCCCTGGGCCCACCCTCCACCGAGCTCCACCTCGGCTCCACAATTACGGAGAAAGTACTGTCAGGAACACGGGGCGCAGGACGAACGAACGCGGGGCAAGGACGACTCGGTGCGGCACTCGCAAGGTCACGACGGCGGCCCGAGCTGAGGGACGCACGCCACGCCACGCCACGCGGCGCCACAAACCGCTGTCGTACACAAGCGCAGACCCGCAATCTTCACTGCCGCACTAAAGCCGTCATAAACGGTCCAAACTCTTTCTCCTCCTCTCTCGCCACACGAGCCTCCCTCTCGCTCTGGCCCAATGACGGCCGCTCCAGACGTCAGGGCGCCGCCATGGGTGGGCTCGGCTCGACTGCTGAGCACCGTGTCGGCCGCAGGGAGCACGCGTAAACTCGCAAGAAATCCCGACTCTACGTCAAAACCACCACTTTGAAAGAAACCAAATCTAGAGTTTAAATTTCAGAAAATAAAACGTGAGTATTTTGACACTGGTGCACCTGAAGCGGAAATGCACGCTACAATCAAGAGTACACAAGTATGACGCTTTAAGCGGCCACTATGCTTGACGAGGCGCTTAAGAGAACGCTGCAGTTCTCGCAGCCAGGGCGCCTGCAGCGCGGCGGGTAGGCAATCCGAGCGCACCGCTGCACAGCGCGTTGCATAGCCAGCGCCTCACAGGCGCTCCGTAGGCAGCCGCGGCCTCCGCAGCGCGCCACTGTCCTGCGCGTTGCCTACCCTCCGTTCCACAGGCGCTCCAATGCAAACGCGGCCCTCGTCGAAGGGAAACACGGAATAAACCTCGACGCTCGTCCTGACTGCGCTGCGGCGGTTGGCGCCGCTGAGGCGCTGCGGCCCCAAGGTGCCAAAATCTGAGTCGAAAGGATCAAAGTGCGAGAGAGACAGAGGGAGAGGCGACGGGCCCTGATTGAAACGACGCCCCTCTCTCCCCCTCCCCCTCCTCACTGGCTCATTGGAATACCGCGGTGGAGAGGCGAAGTGCGGCGCTAGTATCGCGTTTCACGCCGGCACGGCGCGGCACGGCGCGGCATGGCAAGGCACGGCGTTGACGCCCGGCATAAACCAAGGCACCTTCCAATCCCCGTGAGAAGTGCTGGCACCGGTATCGGCGTGCCGAGTCAGCGCGGCGGGGCGGGGCGGATAGAAAGTAGTTAAGAGCCACTGCCGCTTCTCGGACGGCAGCCGGTTGACGACGGGCGCCGCCTGCTCGCCGCGCACGGACGACTCCTGTCCCCGCCAACGGCAGTCAACGGGGCGCCGCCGCCACGACGCTGCCGCCGCTGCTGCTCCAGGCGACGAAATGCTAATTTCAGGACGAAGGCGAAAGAGAGCCGCCGTCGAGAGCCTCCCTCCCCGCGGCGCTCCCGATGCAGAGTCTCAGATCGGCCCAGGTGGGAAGGCTTCAAGACCACCCCACTGCCCTCCGAAAGGGGGCGGAGCGGGGCGGAGCGGGGCGGAGGAAGGAGGAGTGTATGCATTAAGTGGCGCAATGAATATGGTGATGGCGTCCCCCTCCCCCTCCCCCTGCCGCGGCCGTGGCCCTTGGGACACAATCACACACGCCCCGCCACGCCCCACCACGCCCCGACTCAAAAGGTCTGCCGCGCGGCGTTTGGAAAGACCACCAGAACGTCGTCGGGGCTGCCGGGGCGGCGGGGTGGCGGGCGGCGCTATGCAAGCAAGCCGGGCGCCCGTTTCTATCCCTTCCGGTCCCCAGACGCCCTCCGCCCCCTCCCCTCCCCCGAGCCGGTGACCTCGTTTTACAGATGATCCCACTCCGGCGAGTGCAGCTCCTCCGCGTCTCGCAGCCACCGCCTAAGTGTGCCATTCCAAGACACCGCTCATTATGAACGGTCGCTAATATCGGAGCTTAGTCCGGTCCGCCGCGCCGCCACTCGACCCCGCCCCGCCCCGCCCTCGCCGACGTGCTTAACGGCTGGAACGCCCCTTCTCCCCTCCTACGCCTGCCACGCTGAGTGCGCATGGAAACGACGCCAACCGCAATGAAAACCACGTCGGCACAAAGAGCGCTCTGAGCCCTCGCATCGCGTGGCGCGGCGGCGCGGCGGTGCGGCCATGGCCCGTCGTTTTACAACAAACACACTGCCAAAGACGGCGGCCAGCCAGCAGCCAGCCAACGCGTTCAGAATGGAACACCCCGGGGCCGTGCTCCCGCCCGCACCGGCCGGTCACCATTCAAAGGCCCGCCCGACCAAAGGCAGGCAGGCCACAGGCAGGCCACAGGCAGGCCACAGGCAGGCCACAGAGGCAGGGCTCGATCAAAGGCTGACGTCACCGTCACGCCCTGTTGAATGCCTTCGGAGAGTCAAATTAAAAACGGCGCCGACTTCGGGAAGGTGCGCGCCGCGCCAATCGGGTCTCGAGGCGGTCTGAGGCCGACGGGGCGCGGGCATGAACTAGCGACAAGATTAACGCGGCCCTAAATTCCCGGCGGCCCGGGCTGGCAGCGTTAGTGCGACGGGGCGGGGCGGGCGGGGTGGGGCGGGGCGAGGCGGGGGTGAGGCCGGGCGCCGTGTTTGTCGAGCCCAGCGGCCGTCGCGATATCCAGCGAGGAAACGGGCAGCACTAATTCACAGCGGCATCAGCGCGCCGCTCAAAACGGTGTACACCCGAGACACTCCTGCACCTGCTCGCCGGCGCGGCGCCCAGCGCGCCAGCGAAGAATGGAAACAATTTAAGCCCCTGTCTGGAGCACAATGGGAAAAAAATACGTTTCGCAAACAAAGAAAAAAGTCGAATTTCCACGCGCTGGGTCGTTTCTGACGGAAGTGTTTGCGCGACGTCGCGCCACTACAATTCGTCACCACGCGCCAAAAGTTGCGGAGGGTCCACGCGCACGGCCTGCGCGGCCTCGGCCCGGAGTGGGTCGGGAGAGCAGTGGGCGGGCCCTTTCACGGAAACAAAGGGAAGGGCAGGAGGGAGCGAGGGGCAGGGCCAGCAAGGGCCAGCAAGGGCCAGCAAGGGCCAGCAAGGGCCAGCAAGGGCCAGCAAGGGCCAGCAAGGGCCAGCAAGGGCCAGCAAGGGCCAGCAAGGGCCAGCAAGGGCCAGCAAGGCCCAGCAGAAGGCGCCACCACGCCCCGCCAGGCGGCCTGCCCAAGGGCCTCCGCCACTGCAGCTGAGTAGAGAAACATGACGGCCAAGCGGGCGGCCTGGCCGGCAGCTGGGCAGCGGGGAGGGCGGCGTGGCGCAGGCCGTCGCAGCCACGGCGAAGCCACGGCGAAGCCCAGCCCCACAGGGATATGGGTTATGGCTTTGCTCAGGCGGGGCGGGGCTGCGGGCGCGGGGAGAACCGAGGGCTGCGAAGGAGAGGGGGGAGGGCCGCGACGTGAGCCTGAGGGTCCTGGCCAGTGCTGGCCAGTCCCGGCCACTCCTGGCCGCGCAGCCCGAACGGCCGGAACCAGCCGGACAGCCTACTGACACCTGTCCCATTATATATGCCGCTCCGCTCGCCCTGTGTGCTCAGGGCCCCGGCCACCACCAGGACGCCCAGATACGGGCTAGTGTGCGGGGCGGGGCAAGGCGGGGCAGGGCGGGGCGACCTTGGCCACGACAATGCACGTCGTATGTGTCGTCCCAGGGGACGCGGCGGCCCGGCGCGGCGAGCGCTTTAAGGGCACGACGAGGATGCACCACTTTACACTGCACTAGGCCACGCCATCCCCGCCAGCCAGGCCACCGAGGCGAGGCGTGCTCGCCCATGCCGGCCATGCACCGCGCAGTGCACCAGTGCAGTGGTCCCTGCACGCTGGAGTGCCTTTCTCGCGGGGCGGAAAGCACCCCACTCCTTTTTTCTCCGCAAAGTGGCTGCAGGACGGCAAGCAGCGAAGCAGCCCGCTAACGAGGTCACCCCAAGCATGGCACTTCGGATCGGTGCGTGCGCGGCGCGGCGCGGGGCGGGGCGCGATGGCCAGGCTCCAATGCTCCAATGCGGCAACAAGGGGAAATAGTAACAGAAACACGCGGTGCAAGTCGTGGTTCCGAGGCGAGAACGCAGCAGCGGCGCTCGGCGTGCCGCCACACCGGAATGGCACACACGGCACGCGACGGTGTGTCGGCCTGTTGGGCTGCTGGCCTGTTGGCGCGGCGCTGGCGTGTCGGCCGAGCAGCCGGAGGCGAGGAGAACCTAATTGTTGGCGGGATCCTCTCGATTCCCCCGGCCGCCCCAGCCTCCACCTCCTGGAAACCAATGACCGGGCCGGGCCGCGCCACCCCAGCCTTGCTCGTCTCGCTCGCACTCACGCGGCGCTCCGCAGCGGTGCGAGAGAGAACAAGCGACGAAAGCACTGTTCGGAATGAGCCTCGCTGCCCACCCAGCCCCGCCGCCGTCAGGGCGGCCAGCCTTTGTGGAGACAGAGCGTTATTGGACACACGGTGAAATTGAGTTTGGCACATTGGCTTTGGAACAGGGATACAGCCGTGAGGTCGGATGGCGGCAGGGGAGGGGAGACAGAGAGACGGAAGAGAAAGAGAGACAGAAAAGGCAAGGAGACAGAGAGACAGAAAAGGCAGAGAGGCCGCCTCCGAACCGCGCCACACCCAAAGGGCTCAAGGGTCCGCCGGAATCAAGATGTTCCTCAGCTACAAATCCGTCCAGTTTCTCGACAAAGGGAAGATAAAACTTTCACAAACTTCGCCTAGTTCAAGAGCTAGAGCTAGCTAGTTCTGACATTAAAAATATTTCCTCGAGAACACTGCTGCCTACTTAGATCTCACACAGGTCGGGCCAACAACGCTCACGCCCTGAAAAGAAAAGCTATCTGTGTGAGTGCTTTTTGTGTGTTCTTTTCTTTCGCTCACCTGTTATTGCTCCGCGACGGGCGTACTCCAGACGTTATCCTTTCCTGAGTCCAACTCGTCCACCTTCCACGGTGCACACAGTCCGCCAGTCAGGCTGGACTACAACACTTCTGGGTCGCACTGAAATCCCATGACAGCCACCTGCGGGAAAGAAAAAGAAGACACGATCAGATCAGGCTCGCATTCCCCAAAACACGAATAGGGTGCAAAGGATACGATTTCAAGATAAAATCCTGTGCTAATGAAAAATAACCCTGAGGAATCTATAAGGCTATACTTGTTGCTGAAAACAAAACACGAAAAAATCCCAGTGTACCGTGCGTTGATTTTCTTTTTTTCGTTTATGATAAAGCAAAGGGAGGGAAAATCTAGGGCACAAAAATGCTGTTTGGCCTCGTAAGAAAACGGCCTGGGGCGGCGCGGCGTGTCGTGATGTGATCCCTGCGTGTGGGCCGATGGCCAATCCTGAGCCCCACCGCACGCAGGCAGGGCACGGCACGGCACGGCACGGCACGGCACGGCACGGCACGGCACGGCAGGCACGGCACAGGCAGCATCCGCCTTGCGACTTTTACGAGCGCAGTGAGGAGTGGCCCGAAGAGGGAGCGACAAGGAATGGAATACAAGGGCCAGGTCGGGGGAGAGAGGGAGAAGGAAGCAGCTCCTGCCAAGGTTTTATCCGCAGGGCAAACAAGACCGCCACGCGGCCACACGTCGTACCCGTAATGGCTGCATATGCCCCCCTCCCCTCCCCTAGTTCCCCTCGCCCCGTGCACTCCCTTCCAAGCCGCTGGAGGCTCCAGGGGCACTAGCAGTGCGCCCTGAGTGATGGGGTACTTGTAGCGACGTACACACCCCGTATATATCCGGCTCTAGTGTTGACTTGGTTCAACTCTAGACGGGCGACACACGCCGCCACACACACTCGCGCGCGCGCACACACGCCACACGCACACACAGCGCAAAGGGGACAAACAAACTTGCGCTACAGTTTGTTCCCCCAAGAACAGCGGTTTGCGAATGTCACTCACTCATCCAAGGGGCCGTGAATAAGTGAGCAGGGTGAGGCGGGGTGAGGCGGCGCGGGGCGCGGCGGGGCAAGGCGGAGCGGAGCCTGGCCTTTGCGCTGCAATCAATACCAGAGTAGCAGCGCGCTGCACGTCGATGCGCCTAATTGGATCCCGGACCCCATTTCCGGGAGCACGTCCGAAAAAGGAACCGAGAAGACGCGGTGGTCCTGCAGCGCTCCTGTCTCTCTCGCACTCGTGGGGCGTGCCGTCGGTGTGCGAGAGAGACGCCGTCTCCGCGCCGCAGACTAATCAGTGCGACAAAGAGCCGCGCTGGCTGTGCTGGCTGTGCTGGCTGCGCTACTGTGCCGGCTAGCTCCCCACAGGCTCGGCTCGGCTCGCGTGAGCGGCGCGGACCGGACCAGGGGCGCGAGGCGTTATCGGGGGAAGGAAGGGAAGGGGTGGGGGAGCCAGTAATTAACGTCCAAGCTGCAAGTGACCGCAGCTGTTGCTCCACAATGCTGCCAAATCGTCTGGCTGCGCTAGTGACCTACCACCCCACGCCCCGCCACGCCCCGCTCACCCCAGCCGCGACCCTTTCGCGGCGCCTCGGGACTCTGACCACACAATCACATGCCTACCCCAGGCGGACAGCCAGGCAGCCAGGCAGCCAGGCGGACAGGCAGGCAGGCAGGCGGAGTCCCCCCGGGGATTGGGCTCGCTCAAACAACACACGGCACAAGGCGTATCAAAATCAATACACCAACACACAATCGAATTGTTTGCGCGCATCTGGCCGCTTGCATTGCCGGCATCCGCTTTATTAAGTAAAAGAAATTGCTTTCCTCGAGGGGCCGTACGCCGTACGTTGTGATGGGGAAAGTTTCGAGATACGATTCAGCCGCCGTAAGCCGACCCCATGAATACAGTGAGGCACGCTGGCGGGGTCTTGCCTTGGGCGGCACGGCGCAGCACGGCGCGGTGCGGCTAGGCCGTGCCGTGCCCCCCAGTGCCTCCAAAACACTCCGGGTGCATTGTGCAAATAGGTTTATGCCGCCTCCAGAAACATTATTCCCCTGCACACGCCACAGCGCCACAGCCTTGCACGGAGACAGCGGCAACCGTGCTCCGTCGCACTCCGTGTTGCCTACCCGCCATTACCATCAAGGGCTAGACCACACATGATCGTATGCCATTTCGGGCCCGACACATGCCCGCCTGCACTTCAAAACGAGACGCCCCTCACGCCGCCCCGCAGGCGCTCTAAAGGCAGCCATCGGGCTCCCCCGGCGTGGCCCCGCCCCTGCGGCTCGCCAACAGCCCAAACTCGGCACAAAACACGCGCGAGATGAAAGCGGGCGACGCCCTTGTCACCAGCGCCTGCCTCGCCTGCGAATCGCTTCCCCTCCCGGAAGAGGCTCCGGCCGCGCGGATATGGGGCTCTCCATTCTGCCCATCTGGCGGCGACGCGGCGACTCGCCGGGGTAGTGGCGACGAGCTTCCGAGGGAGCGCGGCGCGGCACGGCGCGGCACGGCGACATCAGCGCTGAGGACCGTGGCATCCATTTCTTTCATGGCGCGAGACGGCGCGGCGCCGCGAATCCCCCCGAAAGTCGCCCTCGGGCCGAGGGACGCCACCACCGGAACCAACTTCCACCAATTCACCGCGCAGTTGCTCCTTCTTCTCGCCGCACACCGCGACGCTGGCACACAGACACAGCGCGGCCTGTCAAAACTCCGGCTCCAGGTCGGGCGGTGGGGCTTCCGCTACAACGTCCGGTGGAGTGCGTTGCATTCCGCTCCCACGCCTGCTGACCCACTTTTTCCGCCGACTCTCTTTTTTTGCGCCGCTCCGAGTGAAGTGCCTTAAAAGGCGGGCACGGACGAAGCGGACGAAGCCCGGGGCAACAATTAGCCGGCGGTGGCCGAGGCGCGGCGGGGCGGGGCGGGGCGGGGCGGGGCGGCCAGTCCCGGGCCCCGCGGCCGTTCCAAGTTTTACGAGAGCCACCGCGTCGGCCCGCGTCGCACTGCCGGACGTCGCGGCGCCCATGCTAATGCGTCTTTCAATGTTGCCCGCCGCGACGGCGACGACGGCAGCGCTGCGCGGCGAACAGGCGAAGCAGGCCGCGCAGGCGGGGCAGGCTTCCATAAAGTGCACGCACAGCGGCGGGCGGCACGGCGGGTACGCCCGGCGCCGTAAAGGCGTACGGACGGAGAGGCCGCGTCCTTCAGTGAAATGCGTTTAACGAATTCCGAATGCGCGCCGCCGCACACTGCCGGCAGGGCCTCCTCCAGCGGACTGATTCCGGGGTCGCTCGGTCTCTCTTGCACTCATGGGGCGCTCTGTAAAGGTGCGAGAGAGACATAACGACGAAAAAGACTCTCGGAATCAGTCTGCAGGGCTTCGGCCTTCGCGGGGCACTCCCATACCAACGGCAACCCCGCCCCGTGCATGTAGACGGAAAAGAGGATTTTCCGGGGCCAATTTCGGGCCATGCAGTCAATGGTAATGCGTGGGTCGTTCCCTCGCAGCGTCGTCAGGCGGACCGCGGAGGACCAGCGGGTGAACCCCTCCAGGCTGGAAGCATGCTGGAAGCAGGCCCTGCTGAAGGGGGCTCAGAGAGCACGCGACGCGTGCGCCGCTCGAGTGTTCTCGCTCGCACTCACATGTACGTACACTCTCGATCCAGTCTTTAAAACCTCTGCCCCAGTTCCCCGGGGCATAGATGAGCTTCACATGTTACAGCGTGTTACACGGCATCCTCTGTGAATATTTATCGGACTTTCGGTCATAAATAATTGCGTGCTGCGCGGTGCACGGTGCATGTTCAGGATAAGTTACATGCACCTCGGGTTTATTTTCGCGTCCATATACGTTTGCCGCCCCGGGGCGCGAAGAGGCAGAGGGTGCGAGCAAGCTGGTGCCGGGGCCGGGATGGAAGGGGGAGGGGGGAGACCAGGCAGGCCCAGCGGGGCCACGCAGCCACCACATCCTTTCCTGCTCATAATGCCAAGCAGGGCTGCTGGCTGATTCCGAACAACACTGTGCTCTGCCTCTCTCGCACTCATAGTGGCCGCCGAAGGTGAGCGAGAGAGACAGAGCGAGGTTAGCACGCGTAGGGCTCGTCACAAACGCAGCAAGCCGCACAATGCAGCGCAATGCAGCGGAGGCGGCCACTTGGTGGGGGACGCGGCAAGGGATCCGTCGCCCTGGCGGCCCTGGTGGTATTGCCACAGCATCGGGTGTCTCGTCTCGCTCTGTCTCACTCCGCCTCGCTCTGTCAGCCACGCCGCGGCGCTGCGGGGATTCGACAGAGCGCGCGGCGCGCGGCACGACGCTTGTGTATTCATTCCAAAGCCGAAGCCGAGGGCGAAGCCGCGCCGTCTTGACTGATACACACAGCATAATGAGCACTGCGCGGGTCCTCGCCACTGGTAAACACAAACACCAACACTGAAGCGCGCGCACACAGACACTGCAGCAATGATGATACTTTTTCGATACACACGGCGGCATGACTATTCAGTGGTTGGTGGCATCAGCTGGTGCATGCTCTCCCCGCGGCCCCGGTCGCGGAGTCCCGGTCCCGGCCCGGTTCAAAGCGCGCGCCAAAGAGGCCAAATTCCATTATTGTAATCACCACTTTGAGCGCGCCGCATATCGAATAACCGAATCGAACCGACTTCCCGACCGCACCCGGCGGCTGCCCCGCAGTGCTGCGCTCCTCGCGACACCACACTGTGACGCCCGATTCCGAACAGTGCTTTCCGCTCTCGCTCTCTCTCTCTCTCTCTCTCTCTCTCTCTCTCTCGCACACCAACGCCGGGCTCTGTGAGTGCGAGAGAGTGAGGGGACGCGCAGGCGGTGCCCGCGCCTCGCTCATGGGGGTCATGGCGAAGAACGAGGCCCCGAGTAGCCCTTCGGGCCTTGCTGCCGCCTGCTGCCGCCTTGCTGCCGCTGCACTGCAAGCCGGAAGGCAGTCTGCTAGTCCGCTGCACCCGGAAGGCGCGGGGCGGAAGAGCCATCCGCGCAGTGCACGGGGTGGGGTTCATAAGCATATCGTTACGTTAGGTTGACCTTAATGGCGGCGACTCCTCCCAGGCCGCCGCCCAGAGCCAGAGCACCCAGCCAGGCCCGCCGTTCCCTTATAACAGGTGTTTTTTCATGCAGCACAGCGGCAGCGAGCGCCTCTCGCAGTCGCGTGTAGTGTAAGTACTTGCCGCACGGAGCGGCAGCGGCCGGGGCGGCAGCGGCCCAGAGCACTTTTTGTTGTTATCAGAACAGCAAACATGCATAAAGGCCCGGGCTCCTCTGGCTGCTACTAATCACGCCGTCCGCCCGAGGCACACCCCGCCCCGCCCCGCCACCGCTCCACCGGCTCCAGGCGTATTTCTTATATCGTACCTGTTGAATCAACCGATGTACACCAGGGCCCCGGGGCCTCCGGACGACCCTGGCACCGTGTCTGTCTAATGAGGCCGCTGTGAGGGCTGGCGCAGGGCTGGCGCAGGGCTGGCGAAGGCTGGCGAGACCGACGCCGGACGGCCGGCTGGCATAGATTGTCAGTCGGCCCTCCGAGACAGCAGCCCTTCGAGACCCCGTGACTGGCTGTGAGGGCCCCAGGGCCGCTCCCTTGACCCTGCATACCCTCGATCCTGTCACACGCCCTAATGGCCAGGGCGGCCAGGGCGGCCAGGAGCAGGGTGGGGCCGTGGGCCGGGGCATGCCGGGGCCGCAGGGGGTGGCTCACCGGCAGGGCACGGCCAGGGCAGGGCACGGCCAGGGCAGGGCCCCTCAAAGGGGCGACGACGCCGTGCCGCCGCGCCGCCGCGCCGCCGCGCCCACTGGGCCACGCTTGGTTATGCTTCAGCAGAAAGGCAACCCCAGGGGGAGGGGGACGGGACGGAGAGAGGGGTATGAAAATGAGGGCCAAGGGGCGGCGGGGCGTGCGAGGCGTACGAGCGGGAAGGCTAACTAGCCCCGCATTGCTCCTGGCCCAGCAAGCCGAACCCGAACCACGGCCTCGGCATTACAGTGCAAGCGGCGCAAGCCGAGCCATTCCGGCGGTCTGTCTGTCTGTCCGTCTCTCTCTTTCTCTCTCTCTTGCACCCGCACAGGACAAGACAAGCCACGAGTGTGACAGCGACAGAGCGACGAAACGATCGTCAGCTTCCATGGCAGTCGTGAATCGCGGGAATAAACGCGACGGGCGGCGCGACGCGCGACGGCGAGCGCGGCCTGGAAGGCCTGCAAGGCCTGCAACACGTTGGAGGGACATTAAGCCCGTCGTTAAGTCGCAGCGGTGCTGTGCAGCCTGCAGCCGCGGGACCAGCCGAGCCAGGCCAAAGCCAGGCCAGCCGCTCGCTGCCAAAACGCGAGCGCGGCCAGTCATTTGCATATTCCGATTCGGCGCTCGCGGTGGGCGGCCTCGGCAGGCTCATTCCGAAGGTTCGTTCTGTCTTTGTCGCACTCGTGGCGCGTCCCACAGGCCGCCAAGGTGCGACAGGGACAGAGCGACTCTTCTTCGGCAGGGCTGGCGCGGCTGGCGGAGGCCTCGGCGAGGACGGAGGGCTGGCCATGGCTTGTCCGCTGCGGGGGGCGGCCGGGTCCTGCCGGGCATGGCTGGAGAGGCTCCTCAAGCCCTCAAGAGAAATTGAAGGGTGCAAGGACCAGCCAGCCTCGCCTTTTGGCGTGTTGCACGTTGTTGACACTGCGTCACGCTGGCGCGGCGCGGCACGGCGTGGCACGGCGCTGGCAGGACCACCTCCAAAGCTAGGATGGCGAGGCACGAGGCGTGAGGCGGCACGCTTCAAAGGGAGCCAAGGTGATCCAAGACGTTCCCCCCGCCCCTTCCTCCCCCTTTTCCCGCGCTGGCCCGCCGCGGTGCCGCGGTGCCGTTGCCCCGCCTCAAGGAGGCGCGAGGCGTAGGCCAGGCTGCTTGGCGCCCTGCTTGGCGCGCTGCTTGGCGCGCGGCCTAGGATTGGCGAGGGGGACTGGGGGGCCAATATCCAAAGTTGAAAACTTTATGAGGCCCGTCCCGTTTCCAGGCCTTCCCGGCCGTCCAGGCCCTCCAGGCCCTCCGGCGCGAGAAAGCGAGACGGCGGCCCGATCGATGTGCAGGACCAACGACGAGCACGCCAAGCAGGCCGAGCAGGCCGCCGAGACACTTGTTACAGATACGTACTCTGACGCCTCGGCCCGTCGGCCCGTCGGCCCGTCGTGGCTCAGGTGGCGTCTCCGTCTCCGCTGGGCGTATCCAGTCACATGTCGAACCACTCACTGCACGCACTCACGCGGACACACGCGCGCACGCACGCGCCACGCACACGCGACCGGGGCCGGACGCCTATGGGGTCGGGCCCCGCGAACGCCCCGCGAACGCCCCGCGAACGCCCCGCGGTGGGAGGGGCAAGGGCTCGGCACAGCGAAGGGCTCGGCACAGCCTCGGCACTTCGCGTTCGCGCGGTGGAGACGCTGGCTGGGAGGGCGGCTCGGCTTGGTCCACCTGACCTGGGCGCAGGGCGCGGAGCGACTGGCCGGTGGGGCGGACCGGGCGCGTCCGGGAGGGCCCGGGGGGGCCGGGAGCGCGGCGGGGGTCGCGGGGCAGCTGGGGGCGGCAGGGGCGGCAGCGGGCGGGGGCCGCGAACACTGTGCGCGCAGCACTCTGCGCACCCTCTATTGATCTCACGCCTGCCACAAGGGGGTGGGGCGGCGGGGCGGGGAGGGGAGGGGAGGGCAGCGGGAGGGGCAACAGGGGCGGCGGAGCAGACCAGTTAATGAAAGAAAGGGGGCAAGGAGCTGCGAGACTGCGAGCAGCGCGAAGTAGCGGGCCGCCGTGTTTTGGCTGCAGGTGAGAGGTCAGAGATGGCGGGGCGGGGCCGAGCGAGGCGCGGAGCTGTAGCCGCGACCCGGAGGGGTCTTACCCGCCCGGTGCGACCCGCCGATCCGACCCGCCGCCGAGACGTACACACGACAGGAAATGAGCAGGGGATTGGAGTATCAGGCCGGGCCCGAGTGCCACACCTGCTCAGCCCTCTCGGCGCTTGTCGCCGCGCCAAGCCCCCTGAGCCCCCTCGAGGGCCCGGCCCGGCCGCCACTCCGCCCACCCCGCCTCGCCCCGCGTAAGCCCACATTAGCGGAGAGATGAATCAGCACGAGATCGGTTCCCGTGGTTCCCTTGGTTCCCCGATGATCCCTGTCGGAGCCGCGCGGAAATCGCTTTCAAGTTCTAATCCGGCACGCCGCGCGCCGCGCCGAGCAAGATGGAAAAAGAAGAGCCACTCGCGCCCGGCGGGAAGCGGGGGCGAGAGAGAGACAGAGACGAGAACAAGGCCGAGGTGTTTAATTATTTCCAGAAAAATGGATGCGGCCCGTCTGCGACTTTCGCAGTGATAAATCTCCGTCGTTTTGGCGACTCCATTGAGACACGCCGAGTTCGGGCGAGGCTCACGGTTGGCGAGGGTCGGCATGTCCCCGCGCCCTCGCCGACGGCGACCTCCACTGTCCGACGCGCTCGGACAGGATCGCGACCCGCTTCGCAGCGCTTCGCAGCGCCGGTCGCGCCTGCAGCAGGGTCTCTACCGGGTGCTCCCCGACAGGTGCCACCGGTGCGCGGCGCCGCGCCGAGCGCAGCAGACCAGTCGCTCTGATCTGCCAGTCCAGATTTCGGATGTAGGTCAGCGAAAAAGTAGAAACGAGTTGAAATTCAATCGATTGCGCGCGTATACACGATAATGACCGTGGGGGGCGTCACTACACAATCCATTCCCGCCCCATCGACAGCCTTTTTCTCTTTCCCTTTTCTCTCTCCCTTTTCGTTTTGTTTCTCTCTGCCAGCAGGCGGGCCGATGATGTCGCAAAGCAATGATCCCCGCACGCAGGCCGCGCCGAACGCCGAACGGCCGCACACGGCGACACGGCACAGGCCTCCCTCGGCGCGACACGCCAGTGCGACAGAGAGGGCGGACACACCCACCCCGTCGCACCGCGAGCGCGACAGAGAGGGCGGACACACCCACCCCGTCGCACCGCGAGTGCGACAGAGAGGGCGGACACACCCACCCCGTCGCACCGCGAGTGCGACAGAGAGCACAGACACGTGGCCCAGCCGCGCCGACAGGCGGACAGCTACCCTCCAGCAGTCGGTCGGTCGGCGGTAAAAAGGGGGAAAAATGACCCCCTAAATACGATATTTACTGTAGCGCAAGGAATCGCTCCATCCTGCGAAGGCCCGGCACTGCAAGCAAGGCAAGCAACCACACCGGTGCTTAAGGCGGAAGGCAGGAAGGCGTCTGTTGACGGCGGCCGGGCGGGCTGGGCGGTCGCAGATGAAGCTCCTTGTGTTCGGCAAACGGCCTGGAAAGGCGCGACAATGCACCCACACAGGCACACTCGCACACACGGACACACGAAAAACGTACACCAATCCGAGGCACGCACACAGTGTGCCACACACACGCGCACACACAGACACTCCGTGCCAGTCCGACGCTCTGACTGGAACCTGCCATCCGCGTCACGCTACACGGCCCACCATACATAACAGGTCAGATAGGGGGCCACGCTGGCGGCCAGAGGTCGCAGTGCACTTCATCTTCCTGACACCGACACACAGTTTGAATGCGGTGGCCTGACCGCGTTTCGGAACGCACCCTGTACCGCGGCGTGGCGCGGCGTGGCGCGGCGTGGCGCGGCGTGGCGTGGGCGGCGGGCGTGGCGCGGCGTGGCGCGGCGCCCCGAAACTTGTGCGGGGCGCGCCGCCGCCTCTTTGTATCTGCGAAATGATGCGGTTCGGAGCGCGGAACTGAACAAGATGCGCCTTCGAGTTCGCCTTCGCCTTCACAGCGCGCCAGGTAGGGCCTCCGCGTGGATCCTTCCAACGCTCCGGCGCCCGCCCCGCCCCGCCCCGCCCCGGCCCACCTCGCCACGCCTCGACACGCAGCGCGGCCGCAGCCCAATCAGCACCGCTTTGCAGGCAAAGCCCGGGCCGGTCCCGACGCCCCGCACGCCCCCTCTCGGGAGGCTTGGGAACTAAGCCTGATGTATCAGCTGCGGCCGCGCGGCTTAAGTAGGTTCCGCCCTCCTCCGCGTAGCGTAGCGGCAGGCTCGCCAGGACTAGAACAAGGCCATCAATGCGTCCCCTGCACTCCAAACAGTCGCTCTGTCTCTCTCGCACTCTCTCGCGCCGAGTTCGAAGGACGCCGAGCGACGGAAGCGGTGTTTGGGATCGGCCTGCAGCACTCGCGCGTGCGGCGTGCTTGCTGGCTTGCTGTCGAGCTTGCTGCCCCGTGGCCGAGACCGCTGTGGACTTGCCCGGACGACGGCGACCCTTGTACACACACGCACGCGGCGCGCACGCGCGCGCGTTTGCCCGACACAAATCTCTCCGGCTCGCACACAGTGCCGGGACCGTCGCTGGGGAAACATCGTTCTTCAAGTCAGCATTATCACGGGAGTCACCGAGTCAGCCAGCAGGGCGGCCGGGCGGCGAGGCGTGTTTGAACCGCGCGCGTTAAAGCTCGTCACAAAGAGCAAATCCGCCGGAAAAACACACTCGCCCCGGGCTGCTCGTGTAAATCCGAACACGGCGGCTTTTTAAAAGCCGCTCGCCTCGCGAGCACGAACGCGGAGAAGGGATTTCTTGCCCCTTTGTCCTTGTCCCTTACACTTAGCGCACAATGATAGCGGCAACAAAACGCAGCAAGGGGAGCGGACCGTGGCAAGTCCGGGCCACGCGCGGCCACGCGACCCAGCAGCATGGCCTCGCTCCTTCTCTCTCGCACTCATGAAGCGTCCCGTGTAGGGGTAGTGTCAGAGAGAGAGAGAAGGCATCAGTTTAGGGCCGCAAGGCGAGTCCCGGAGTCGGGCTGTCCGGAGCTCCTCTGGACCGTCCGGAGATTACGGCCCTTAACTGATAAATGCTGGCAAGGTTTTACGCAACATGTGTGTCCGAGGCCGGGCCGGCCGGCCGGACGCCAGGGACTCGCCTGGCGGCCTCGTGGGGCGCGGCCTTGTGGGGCACGGCCAGCACGGCCAGCCAGGCTCGGCGGCCACAAAAAGGAAAGCAGGCTCAGCCCGCCAAAGCCGGGCGGGGTGCGCGTCCCCTCGCGCCTCGGCCCGCCTCGGCCCTAGGCCAGGCCGCCAGGGCCGCCAGCACCGCCATACCGCGTCGTGGCCTCGGACAAGATCCCACCTGCCGACGCCAGCAGGCAGGAGGACCTCGCGGTGCTACCCTGTTTCGGAACGCCCCGCGGAAACAGCAAACAAACTTCTTAAAAACAAACAGAGAAAAAAAACAGGGAAGCGGGAGACATCTGCAGCGGCGGTCACGTCAGGTGTTGAGAACAAAAAGTCATTTGCATTCCGGGCATTGCCGGCGGGGCGGGGCGGGGCGTGGCGGGGCGTGCCGCGGCGTGGCCGAAGTGACGCAAACAAGAGAATATAAATTAGCGACGCCGAAAGCACGATGATGGCGCCGTGATTTATCGCGCTTGTTTCCTCCGAGTTTCGCGTCGTCGAATCCGACGTCGAGTCGAGAGGTACGCACGGGATAACAAAACCTGCTCACTACCGCTCCTCGACACTTTCAACCAGTTTAGCGTGTACCGGCGGCGCGCCAATCAGAGAGCGAATGTGAAAAAACAGACACACAGAAAGAATAACAGGTAAATGGGGCGATGCACACTTTAAATATTCGCGAATTTGTTTATATTAAGGACCCAAAGAGAATCGGATCGAGAGGGCCTTCGCCGGGTCCCCGAACAGACACTACTCACACTCACACGCAGAGCACGCAGCCGACCATGTGCCCGTCCTCCGGTATTTGCTCCATAAATACGACTCGGCGGGCCAAAAAGCGTGGAGCGAGAAGGAAGAAAAAATAAAATAAACACCGGGGGCCATTCTGAGAGTCGGCACGCCGCACTGCAAAGCCAGCCAGGTCGCGGCGGGCTTGAGCCCGGGCAGGCCAGGCACCCCGGCAGCGCGGCCAGTCTGCTGCGGAGGGATTGCAGCCACGTCCCGCCACAACTGCGACGACGAGTACGACGACCATGCACTCGACGGGGCGGGGCGGGGCGGGATGGGGTGGGGAGGGGTGGAAACACGTTTCCCTTCTGTCAGTCGGCCGCCACCACCTGCGGTTATATTTACCCCCACCACCGCCGCGACCCGCGGCTCGGGGGCACGTGAGACGAATACGGAAGACGATGACGTGAATCATGCGCACCTGGCCGCCCCGCCCCGCCACGCCGCCACTGCGATCCCCTTTTCTTTCAACTATTTCTCTAATCGGCTCGGCAGCGCGACCCGGCGACCCTGGAGCCGAGCGAGCGAGAGCGTCCTGCTGGAGCTGGAAGTCC